GAAGGATCCTCGCCTAGAGGCTTTGGAGGGAGCATAGTTTTGCAAATGCCTTGATTTTGGATTTCCAACCTCCAAAACTGAGACAGAAATTTGCTTTTTTGAGCCACCCAACTTGTGGTACTTTATTACAAAGTTCCAGGACACACAAATACAGGTATAATTTTTAAAACAGAAATAACAAGTGTTGGCAAGTATGATGGTTAATTTTATGTCAGTTTCACAGGGCCATAGTACCGAGATATTTGTCAAACGTTATTCTGGATGTTTTCTGTGAAGGTGTTTTTTTTGGATGGCATTAATGTGGGTGTTCCTCATCCAATCAAAGATCTTAGTAAAACAGACTGACATGCACCTTGAGCAAGAAGGAATTTCTGACAGCAGACTGCCATTGAACTTGAACTGCAGCTCTTTTGTAGGTCTCCAGCTGCTGGCCTCTTCTGCCAGCTTTGGACCTGCCAAGCCTCCACAATTGTGTAACCCAATTCCTTAAAATAAAGGAATACATACCATGTTGGTTCTATTTCTCTGAAGAGCTCTTACACAGCAAGGATGTGGAGAAATTGGAAACATTATACACTGCTGGTGGAAAGAAAATGGTGTGGCCACTGTGGAAAATCATTTGGTGATTCCTTAATTAGTTAAACATAGAGTTACCCTATGCTATGATTCAGCAATTCTACTCCTATGCATGTATCCACAAGAATTGAAAACAAGCCTTCAAACAAAATGTGTACAAGAATGTTCACAGTAGCCCTATTGACAATATTGAAAAGGTAGAGAAAATCCAATTATCCATCAACTGATGGATAAATAAATGTGGCATATCCATACAATGAAATATTACTCGACCATAAAAAGGAATAAAATTCTGACAAATACAACATGGATGAACCTTGAAAACACTATGCTAAGTGAAAAAAGCCAGATTCAAAGGTCATGTATTGTAGATTTCATTTATGTTAAATAACCCGAATAGGAATTGCATAAAGACAAAAAGCAGGTTAGTGGTTGCCAGTGGGTATGGGGTTTCCTTTTGAGAGGAAAATGCCCTGGAACTAAACTGTGGTGATGGTTGCACGTCACTAATGTACTAAATGCCACTGCATTGTACACTTTTAAAATGGCTAAAACGGTAAATGTATGCTATGTGTGTTTTACTGCAATAAAAAAAAAACCACGTGGTCCAAGTACACATGGAAGGATAATTCATGAACTCATTAACAAAAGTTGTGGAGATGAACTTTCCAAGTTCACAGAAATAGAACAATGAAGTGAGAATTAAAGGACCTAAAAAAAATTCATGCATGTAGCCATTACAATAAATAAGCAGGCTTGTGGAACTCAATTCACAAAGCAGCTTTATTTTTCTCTCCAGCTGTCCCTTGAAAAATCCCATTTGAGGGGCGAGTGAGCCGGTTAACTCTAGGAGAAAACTCAGGTCTCTGCAACTTCCCTAGTCAATCCTACTTTATAATAATAACAGCAGCAAGTCCCATAGTCACCCTTACAGTGCAGAACAGTTTCAATGCAGAAATTTAAATAGCCAATCCCACGTTATAGTCCAAACGGCGCATCACCGGAAGCCAAGGCTTTTCTGGGCCTGCTGCGGTGGGAAGCTGGCATTGCTTCAGGGCGAGGGCAGTGGGAGTGAGGAATGCAGAGCAGGAGGAAACCTTTACTTGAGGCGTTGTGGCAACTGGGCACTGGCTGGGCAAGGGTTTCGCTTCTTTCTCACGTTGGCTTCTCCGGCACTGCTGAGTGGCTCCTCCCTGTCACCTCATCTTCAACCTCCATCACTAGGCATCTCTTAGGGGTGGTACCTACCCCCCCTCACCCGCCGCCCCCGGCTCTTTAGTTTCTGCTTGCTCCTCAGCAGTGCAGTCAGGAGCTCGCCTCCTTGAGCAGACAGATCCCTGCCTCTTGCTCAGACTCTTAGATGGCCCCTACCGGTGGTTTCCTTGCATGCAGCTCACATCTGGTCTGACAAAGAATGGCACCTGCAGCCACCTCTGCCTCTTCTCCTGGGCTCCATCATCAAAGCAACTAGCCATCCACTGGCATTCATCCTTTAGATTTTTCCAAGCAGCGGTCTGTCTAGTCTACCAGATCACCACCTTGCAGGGGACACAGGGTAAGGTCCAAAGAGGCCCCTTCCCTCACCTTGAGGTCAGACGCAGGTGGCATCATCCACTGCTGTCCCTTAGGGGGTGCAAAACACACAAATGGTTCTCTTCAAAGAAATTCCCATCAAAAATCCTCTTCCTTCAACTCTTTCTTAACTCCTCTTTTATACACTTAATGTAGGCAACAAGAGTTTAAGGGGGCTACGGGTTTTTGACCATCTCCATTGTAAATATAGCATATGATATAGGTATGAGGTATCTATTGCTGACTTCCAAAAAAAAAAACCCATCTATTTTAACCTCTTATTACATGTGAATTTTAAACCCTATGTTTATTGTTGAATGTAGTAACAGCTACCATCGAGCCCCTAATTTGTCCTAGACATGACACTAAGCTCTTTTTATAAACATCTCATTTAAAGTTTATAGGTACGTTTGTAACTACTTTATCATTTTCATAAGAATTTAGATAACTGGCATTTAGAAGTCTGTGAAGTGCCTTATTACTAAGATGTTTGGTAGAAAAAAATTATTCTGAAAGTCATAGAATATCAGACCTGGAAAGGACAGCGGAGGTTATATAGTCAACCTCACTCATCTCCTTGAAGCAGCTGCAGGGGTCCCAAAAGACAGGGGCACTCGCCCAAGGTCAGCACAGCGAGGGATGGGAAGATGTGGGTTATCGCTTGCCACAGCTGCCTCTTACTCATAAAAAACGTATTAAATTCTGATTTATACTGCCAACTTTAATATTTATCAAACCAGCAGTAGAAATGAATTTTTAATGCAAACTATTTTAGCCTAAAAAATTGGACGAATTGGGCTTCCAACACTACATAAAGCTGTATGAATCCCAATCCACAGTACAGGAGACTCAAGGATTCTTCATTGAAGCTGTGCCGCAGAGTGGAAGAGTGATTTTTAAATAGAAAAATCCCATGGAGGTTTTCCCGATGAGAAATGAGTTAAGCCAGATGAATGATCCCAGGAGAAAGTAAGAGAGCAAGCCAGGCTGGAAAATAGCTTTGTCTTAAAGACCTGAAATAAACCAAATGCAGGCTGGTTGTGCCCGGACAGTGAACTACTTGTCTTTACCCCCATCTTCCCCGTCTTGGCCTGCTCTCATGTTCGGATCCTTTTAGATGCCAATCTCCAGGGCTTCATATATGCTCTTTCTATACATCAGCACAATGGTATCACTCATCTAACAAATACAGGAACCTAAGACATGCCATCCAGTGTTCTGACTTCAGTCCTCGCAGGGGAACTCACTGAGATGCAATATGGCTCCAGCACCAAAGGCATCTGGGAAACGATGGACTCCACTTTCTCTGCAGCCTCAGGGTTGGCTGACTACCCAGAAAAGTGGAATGCCACCCAAAGATAAAAGTCATGCCCTCAGGAAGGTTAATAATGAATGTATAAATAGTGACAACTGCCTGATGTTATCTGCTAAGACTGCAGTGTTCTTTCTGGTGACTTCCCACCATGTGGTTTTACAATTAAGCCCTTAAAGAAAAGGGACCCTGTTCCGAGGGAGGCACAGATTCTTCCCAGGCGACCACCTCCTGGAGCAGCTGCTTTGTCCGTGTAAGTTTCTCCTATTAAAGCTCTTGAGTGTGAGTAAGGCTACGTGTCAGTTCTTTGTAATTGATCCTGAATTTCGACCTTTGGGGCTTTCCCCCCCAACACTCCTGCATTCTTCTCAAGCAATACAACCACCAGAGGCTTTTAGGGTTGGCAGGGAGCCTAGAGATAACTTAGGCCAATACCACATTTCACAAATAAGAAAACAGGCCCAGAGAGAGAAACACCTGGCCCAGGAAGGTCACATAGTTAATGGCTCTAATCACAAAAGTTAAGCCTTTTGACAGATTCATGAACTCTTGGGTAGTTCCAGCTACAGCTCTGAGGACCTCAGAGTCACATTTTGTAGCCTGAAGTGCTAATTAAACCAGAGGAATAACTATTTATAGGTACGAGTGAAGACATTAACTAGGCCATGAATCCTGGGGACAGAAGGAGATCTTGTCTCCTGAGAGCCACACATTAATTCAACCTTTAGATTTTAAGACAGAACTTGCGTAACGCAGTCTCAACTTTCCTAATTCTTGACTTCAACTTGAGATGCATTTACTCTCGAAGGACCACAGCTACTGCAGATTATTGCATCGTGAGATAAGTGGGTAACTCTACTCCTTCTGGCAAATGCTGCCCTCACCCTGTGGGAAGGTTAAAAGAATCTTCCGAACATCCATTACTTCAAAAGGAACAATTTCAAACCATTTTTCTATTATTTTGAGTTTTAACCACCAATTCTCAGTCAACACACTTTCATTGAATTTAAAAGTGGAAAGGAGAAAGTAAACCCACAAAAATGTTTTTCAAGGCATACCACTTTGGTTTGAATTATCTCATATTTTTCTTCTCTCTGTGCAGAGTGGCTTTCATTGTATTGCCCAAATCAAATACTTCTCAGGAGGCCTAGCAGTGCAAACAAAAGCGCTGAAATCAAAGCGCTTACAAGGCTTCATCTGTCAGAGACTGCGGTACCGGGGAGTCACGGAACCTCTCTCTCTCCATCAGTTCCCACTTCTGTACAATGAGGACAAAACTGGAGGTACCGCTCCTCCTGGGTGCTGTGTGGGCTGGCTAATTAAAGCTAATTGAGCCCCTGGAAAGAACCAGAAAATACTATGTAAGTGCTGGGTATTTATGGGCCACTAAGAGCCACAAAAACTCTTAAGGGACAAGATTCTGTGCAGAGCACAGTGTCTATTGGTGATTATTAATTAGCCACTGCTTACAAAGAAAGCAGAGGGTTCTGCAAAAGGGTAGGGAAAGGAAACAGCACACAATGTCGTTCAACAACACCATCTTTATTCAAAAATATATATCTATGAGACATTTCAGAATATACTGCTGCCACCAAAGACAGCCTATACTTCTAAATAAAGTCCTAAATTAATATACAAATTTAAGTTTTAAAAATATTCTTTAAGAAAAAAGGGGGAAGAATGAAGACTTTCTGAGGAATAAGACCTAAAGGAAATGTCCTCTGAGGTCAATGGATGCCCTAAGTAAAGAAGGAAAAGCACAAAACAAAAACCACCCACCCCACCCCTCCCCACCAGATCCTTAAATTAAACAAATGAAGTAAGCACACTTGGGGAGAATATGAGAGAATTAAGTTTTAAAAACCAAAAGCATTTCATTAAAAAAAGAAAAATAATCCAAACTAACTTCCTCACAGGAAGTCCACTAGTAACACATGTTAAGAGGTCAACACATTCATTTACATAATTGCTAGTTTCACTTCTTGCTCTTGCTGTAATAATTATGCACCAATTGCTGGTCAGACTCAATCAGACGAAAACATCACAGTGGGCAAGATCCATTCAGTTATAACATTTCATCGAGCTGATCAGAGCAAGTATCTACTATTCTCTTTTGGGGGGTTCTTCTGGGGTTAGTAAAGTTCTGCTTCCTTGGTGAAGCACAGAGAACGTCCAAGGGTCTGCTGAGAAACATGCTCTTGACAGGAGGAAAGCAGCACAGCGCATGGGCGGGGCGGGGGGCGGGGGGCAGGTGCAGAGACAGCCACGACTGGAGTTCATCCTGCAATTTCAGTCACGTCGCCCCCTGCCCAATGGCCTCTGAGAGGAAAACTATTGACAGACTCATTAATTTAATAATGACAGGACAACAGTCAGTGTCAGTAAGAAACAATACACAGTCCATATTCCAATCTGAACAATAGCTTAAATGCTACCGGGCTCTACAGAGTTAAGCTGAACACCCGCCAGGACTTCCTCTGCCCTCACTTCACGGCAGGCAGGAGGGCTCCTCCAAGGGAAGCCTGCAATATTTTTTAAAACATAGGTTATGGTTTAACATGTAAAATTACATGTACCTGGCTTTTTGGTAATCCGTAACATAATGGAGATTTTGAAGCCCCCTCCACAGGATCCATTTTTACAGCTTTGGGATTTTAGCCTCTGGGCTATAATTCTTATTACGCTATTGGGGCAAATTGTTTTCTGCCCTTTCCAATGTCAAAAATAAGCCTGCCAAATTAGAATGATTTAGAGTTAGCAGGCCTAACCTTTACTAAGAGCAAGGTAAAAATCCTAACTACGTTATATAGTAGTAACGTCAGCTGGCATGATAAAAGAGTTAAAACCCCAAATTAACACCCCCGACTCCCCCTCCCCCTGCCCGAGATGAGCTATCTAGGAACACGTGACACAAAGTGCTCCTGGGCCCAGGGTCACACGCAGTGAACTGATGGACAGATGACCATGCACAGTGTCATATTTGCAAGGGAGGTATTCAAGTTTAGTCACCATCCTGAGGACATCTGCTCTCACGGTGAATTAAATGTTACTGTGTGCCCTAGTCCCCAAAAGAAAGGGTCAAAGCGACGCCCACACAGAGCCTGGGCTCTCAGCATGCCTTTAGCTTTTGGAGCCCGCCACTGACATTTCTAAAACGCACCTGTCCAACCCACTACGGTCAAAGGTTGTGTTCTTAGGGATGCGCTCTATGGTACTGGGTGGGCCCTTCCTAGGGGCAGCCTGGGAAGGTTGTTTGTAGGAACCTGAAGCAAATTACTTATTTTCAACTCATACTTGTAATTCCTGTTACTCTGTCTCTGAAGTGTGACTTTATGGCCCAGATCAGCTTCGAATCTTCTTGCAAGATTCTCTAGTCTGCTTACAAAACAAATGCACCTGACCCTTGACTACACATAGCTAGCTAGAAGTAATGGGAAAGGAGAATCAGAGATTTGGCAAACTCCTTATGTGTGGCAAAGCTGCTCAACAGTTGTGCCTCCCTTTGGGGTTAGTGGAGTCAGGAAAAGCCAGTGACTCCAGAGGGAGTCCCTCCGTGGAAGCCTGTACTGAACCCGCACAAGCCCACCTCAGAAGCTGCTTTTGTGACACAACACTATCATCAGGGATGAGATTCTTCTGAAAGCTTCCAGAAGTACACATGATTTTCATAACTCTTGGGTATAAAGAGAGAGCTAAGAATGGAAAACCAACAGGGACATAAAAACACAAAGTGGAGGAGTTTATATTCTTTCCAAATATCAATCTAAAACTGGATTCCACTGGCCCCTGTTCTGAATTGTGCTCAACAGGAGAGGCTTGAGAGGAGAATTAGTCTGTGGTTCTTTCTTGAGGCTGGGAGGCTGGGGGCCAGGCGGAAGGAGGGACAGAACCAGGGGCTACAAGGTTATTTCCAACCGTGACTTGCCCTCCTCTTTCTGGTGGTAGAGATGGGAATCTGGGGCACGACACCTTCCCTAGTCGGTAGAAAACAGGTCACCAGCAGAGGGCAGGGGGGCCAAGCCCCCTGTGACGTTGGGCAGCAAAGAGAGGTCTGGCAGGCTCTGAATGTGGGACTTCAGTTCCTTGCGAACCTGGGTTACCCGAGCGAGCTTCTGTTTATATTCCTAAAGAAACAAAAAGAAGACAAGGCAGTTAAGTCCTGGTGTGCTGATGGTCAAGCTTAAGGAGCCGATACAGATACTCTTGCCTTCTTGTCCTACTTTCTCCCCTTCAGATTGCCCCTCCCCTATTCAGCAAAAGGACAATGCTACGGTTTTCAAACTTTCAAAAGGTAAAACTTTATATAAAAAAGGAAAGCCGAGTTCAATACTGGTGACAGTATGAAATGGTATTTCACTTAGCACTTGAGACTTAGAAGTAAAAAGAAGTGACATTTTGTATTTGCAGTATCTTTTATTTGGCCCTTAGCTTTTTCAAAATGCCTTATAAAATAAAATAGATGCTTAGAGCTTACAGTTATTTTGAAGGCTACATCTAAACATGGTTAGAAAAATCACTGTAAAACTATACTTTCTCTGTGAAACGTAGAGATTAAACCAGATTTATCATTTTTTCAGACAAGGACTATATGAGTTCAAAATACCCAATGCCACTACCCCAGGTAACTGAACGAGTCCCTGATGAGGCTCGCGGTACCCTCCCCTGAACATGCCACACTTGTCTTCCCAAGGCCCCGCTTTCATCGAGTCACCCCTCTGAGAAAGCGACATGGCACCGCACTATCTTCATGATGGCTCAGAGCTCAAGGTCTTCTAAAATTAGCTGCCACCAACTGTATTTCTCACAACCTCCCAACTCCCCATGCACAGACCACAGCCTGCAAGGGCTGCTTGTTTAGGATTCTCCTCCAGCCCGGAGGGGATCACAGTCTAGACACAGATCTTTCTTCCCCTGGTCCCAGCAAAGTGTGGCCTCCACTTCCCCGCCTGCCCGCTGAGTCCCACCTCTCCAGCAAAACCTTCCCCCTCACCCGGGAGACTGGCCCCACTCTGCCCACTCCGGGGCCCTCCTCTGCACCGGGAGTGCATCTGCACCCCTAACAGGCTGCTCTTAGGCGCTCTCTCCGTACACGTTAGACTTCCATGTTCCTCTAAAACTCCCCTGACAATGGGAGCTGAGCACACTACTTTCTTTCTTCAGCTCCCAGCCAAAGGTCCTCTTGGTAAACATGTATGGAATTACCAGCCGGCCACGGGGGGGGGGGGGGGGGGGGTGTATCTGTGGTTTACGACCCTCTTGGAGCTTGTCTTTTCTCCTCGAGCTTTGTCACCCCCCGTGGTGTTTCTGTGAAGACAAGGACATTCCCAGGTCTGGGTCCTCACTGACTAATGCCTCTCCTGCAGGAACGTAACAGAAAGCACGGGGCCGAGACTCAAGGACCTGGGTTTAGTCCTGGTTCTGACTCTAACTTGCTGTGTGACTGTGGACATGCTCCCTCTCTTCCTTTATCCTCACCTTCCTTATCTGAAAATGAAAGAACTGGACCATCCATAAGATCTTTCTTCAAGTTCTAGATTCCTTCATGCCAACACCTTATGCACACCTGGCGAGACAGGGGGTGTGAGGGCAGAAGCACTGGTGGGAAGAGTGACAAGACAGGAGACACGTTACATGAAGAACACTTAGTTCATGCTGTAAAGACGGAGTCCAAGCAAGGAGTGGAGGGGGAATTGGGGATGTGGGCAGGGAGGCTCTGCCCCCGCGTTCCTGCAGGCAGCCAGCTGTCCCCTGAAATAACTGCTGCTCACACAAGCCATCGACTGGAGAGATGGAGGAAGAAAGTAAGCTCCCTCGGCACCCCATTTCTTTTTTGGAGCCTTAATACAACTAAAACCATGACATACACTCCTCCATCAAACCCGTCAGTTACAGGATGTTAGAACCAGGTCCATCTGCTCTCACCCAGCATCCACCATGCCCAGCAGGGCTCTAAACAAACAGGAGGTGCCCAAGACAGTTGCCCCAAAATTAGTAATATATAAAACATAATATTATAAACAATATAGACCACTTAATCAGTTTTAATTCTTGAAACTGAAGACTAATTTCAAATGTGAGGATCTAAAATGTCTTCGAGGTTCCCTGTCCTTCCCTCTACAAACATATTTCTTCCTTGGTTTTATACACTTCAGGGGAAATTAGTAGAGAGGACCAACTCTCTATTACTGAACACGGATTCATTTAATTAACTTCAGAATTCTAGGTACAAAAAGAGTAAAATAGTTACTAAAAGGGAAGGCAGTTGATCTGATTAGAGAACACCTTAAGTTCAAATAACTCTCTCCCCAGCAATCTTTAAAACAAAGATCTCATTTGCTCCTCTTTGGGGTGGGGATAGGGTTATCTCATCATGCTCAGGCCGCTATTATATTCTAGATATCAAAAAACTCTTCATTTTAATAAAAAGAAATTATGCTCCACATTAAAGTCCTTGTCTTCAGGCCACTCTGAAAGCTGAATGAATCCAGCCCACACCTCCGCATGCTACCAGGTTAGTCTTCCCAAAGGGATTTGTGTTCTAGGAGCAGGTGCATGAACCTAGGAGGAAGGCATTACTAGAAAAGGATGGGACTGCCAGCGAAAAGGATTAAACACCTCGACTTGCAAGATACAAGGTTAACATACAAAAGACAATTGCTTTGCTACATACCAGCAATGAACAAGTGAAATTAAAACATAATATTATTAGCACAACACAATGAAATACTTGAGTATAAATATAATAAAATGTGTACAAGGTTATATGAGGAAACTACAAAATGCTGATGAACAAACAACCAACAACTAGAAAGATACTCCATGTTCATGGATAGGAAGACTCAATACTGTCATGTCATGATGTGAGTTCTTCCCAGCTTTATCTATAGATCGAATGCAATCCCAATCAACATCACAGCAAGTTCTTTTGTGGAGATACACAAACTTATTCTAAAGTTTATATGGAGAATAAAAAGACACAGAACAGCAAAACAATATTGAAAAGAACAAAGTCAGATGTACCTGACTTCAAAACTTACAACGAAGCTATAGTAATCAAGACAATGCGGTGCTGGCAAAAGAAGAGACTAACAGGTCAATATAACCGAATACAGAGCCCACAAACAGATCTATTTAAATACAGCCAACTGATCTTTGACAAAGGAACAAAGGCAATACAGTGGAGAAAAGACAGTATTTTCAACAAATGGTGTTGGAACAACTAGACATCCACATGCAAACGAGTAAGTCTAGACATCTTACGTCCTTTATAAAAATCAACTCAAAATGAAACACAGATCAAAATGTAAAGCACAGAACTATACAACTCCTAGATGATAATACAGAAGAAAATATAGAAGATATTCAGTTGTGTGATGATATTTTAAATACAACACCCAGGCATGATCCACGAAAGAACTAATAAGGTGGACTTTATTAAGATGAAAAAAAATTCTGCTCTGTGAAAGATACCGTCAAGAAAATGAAGAGACAAACCACAGACTTGAGAGAAAATGTATGCAAAAGACAGCAGGAAAATGCGAATTAAAACAATGAAATATCACCACACACCTATTAGAATGGCCAAAATCCAGACCACTGACAACACCAATTGTTGACAAGGATGTGGAGCAACAGAAACTCTCATCTTGGGTTGGCCAAAAAGTATGGTTTTTTTTTTCCGTAAAATAAGACACATTTTTCATTTTCACCAGTAACTACTGATTTGGTTATTTTGAGTATATTGGCTATCTCCTGTGTGGTATGACACTGATCTCAATTAAATGTCTCAATTTGATCACTATCAACTTCAACAGGTTTACCCACTGAGGAGCGTCTCCAGCGAGAAATCTCCAGCACGAAACTTCACAAACCACTTCTGACACGTTCGATCAGTCAGTCATAGCACCTTCTCCATACACTGCACAAACCTGTTTTCAGCATTTCAGCTGCATTTTTACCTTTCTTGAAATAAAGCAAAATATGCCAAAAATGTACTTATTTTCTTCCATCTTCAATATTAAAATGGCTACACAAAATTTTTTTTTAAATACTTGCTGATATGACAGCTGTCACAATACAATCAAACAAAATTTTTTCCAATGAAGTTACAGACAACTAAGTGCTACTGGAGCCATCTTATGGAAAAAACTAAATGAACTTTTTGGCCAACCCAATACATTGCTGGTAGGAATGCCAAATGGTACAGCCACTCTGGAAGACGGTCTGGCAGTCTCTTACAAAACTAAACATACTCTTACCATAGGATCCAGCAATCATGTTCATTGGTATTTACACAAAGGAAAGGAAAACATATCCACACAAAAACCTGCACATGAATGTTTATAGCAGCATTACTCATAACTGCAAAAGCTTAGAAGCAACCATGATGTTTGTTCTTCAGGAGGTGAATGAATGAATAAAATTTGGTATATCCAAATAACAGAGTATTACTCAACACTAAAAAGAAATGAGCTATCAAGCCATGAAAAGCCATGGAAGAACCTTAAAAGCGTATTACTAAGTGAAAGAAGCCACCCTGAAAGACTAAGGGGTCCAGCTACATGACATTCTGGGAAAGGGAAAACTATGGAGAAATGGGGGGGGGGGTGGATGAAGAGACAGAGCACAGAGGATTTTTAGGGTCGTGAATATACTATTGTATAATGATGGGTATGCCCAAATATGTAGAATGTACCACACCAATGTGAACCCTAATGTAAACTATGGACTTTAGGTCATTATGATGTGTCAATGTAGATTCACTAATGGTGACAAATGTACCACTCTGGTGGGGAAGGCTAAAAGTGGAGGAGACTATATATATATGTGAGGGCATGGTGTGTAAGGGAAATCCGTTTGTTCCTCTTAATTTTGTTTTGAACCTAAAATTACTCTAAAAAATAGTCTTAAAAAACGACCTATGGGCCCAGAGGTTTAAATGCATCTGCAAGGGTGGGTAGGTATATTCTCTGAATATCCACACAAAGATCAAGACTGCCTTTAAAACTATTAAAACATGTGCATGCTTAACTGGGTCAATTGAATGGCCTATATTAATGCCTTGAGAAGAGAGGAGCAGGTTAGAATTTGCAGCAAGCTCTGACTAGGTCAAACTGAAGTCACA